CACACACACACACACACACACACACACACACACACACACACACACACACACACACACACAGGGGTGCTGATATCATCTAACAAAACACACTTGCAGGCCAGATAGCGTCCAGTACCTGCTTCAACACAGCTGCTGCTACAAAAGCAGGGAGGACACCGTGGCTGGAGTTATTAGAAAAAACATGGCTCTGAACGCAGAGAGAGCAAGGTGGAAAAATACAGGAAGTCCTGATACAAGTGCAAAGACTGAGTGGTGCAGAGGGAGATGGATGAAGTGAAGGGATGTAGAGGGATGGAGGGAGGCAGACATGTGAGCTACTGGTTGAATACAAACATAGAAAGTAAAATGAATGCATGAAACGTATGAGAACGTAATGATAAATAGTCAAAGAGCCACACGAGAGTCTGTGCAGCGTTTCTGCCTCTCCATTTTTATTCACCCGGACGATAATATTTTTGGGCTTCTGACGTGTGCAGAGCTTTAAAAAGCAGATTTTGGAGTAAAGGCATCTTTTTTTGTATCATGATGGATGACTCACTGTGTCCTTTTCTCTTTCTCTGTCTCTGTCTCCCTAATCTTGCAGCTATATTTAGTACTGGCATGATGCCCTTCCAGACAGATAGGTTGGCAGCAGCATTTAGCTCCTCTTTCCTCTCCTCCCCTCTTTCATCCTCTCCTCTCATCTTCACACTCTGTAAAGAGTAACATGGGCCAAATTAAACGGCTGCTAATATAGATGCCATCAATCATTATAATACGATAATACTGTCATGAAGCTTATCAATTTATAGGTAATACAAATAGGCATAGTTATTAACATATCACCCGTCCATTGGTCTAAAGTCTGCTCTGTAACGTGAGATGATAATTTGAGGGAAAAAAAGGACTGAACATCATATTGCCAGCCACTTTCGTCATCATCATCGTCATATCCATCATAATCCATGCCAGGGGGATAAAAGCCACAGTGCCCAGGAATACCAGTGCACAGAATACACAGACACAATCTTCATCTCCCAGACTCTGTATCTCTCACAGAAACACAGATCACACTGAAACTTTTGTTGAGCAGCGAACATTATGGCCACGCTTGGCAATTTGGGGTAACTGCTGAAAATACGATAACAAATAGCAAAAGTAGAGTGAAACGACTCAGTTACACAGAAATCTCTCTCTAAAGTTTGCTAACGTCATTAGCGCCATAACCTTCTGGTCATACCTGCCATACCCTGAGTGTAATAAACTAAGCAATTACTGCTTATGAATTTCACTTCTTTTCTGTAAAAGGAAAATGTGGTTATTTCGTCTTTTTAAAAATCACATATTCTCGTTTTAAGTAAAAGAAGTAACACCATGATGTAAAAATAACCAGAACAAAAAAACAAAAAATCTTGTCGCAGCAGAATGAATGCAAGTGTTGAAACATGATATATTACTATATATTATTACACTATTACTGGTGAATCAAGTTACTTTTTGTAGCTGGCTTTGGGAGCTGCTTTACATACTGTTGGGTTGCTTTAATCTACAGAAATAAACATATTGTATTTGTGAGTATAATACTGGATGGATGTACTCCAGGTGTTATGCAATGCTGTCACATGATATACATTATTTTATGTGAGCTAGGTTTTAGCGTTTGTTTTACTACATGTTTTATCTATTTTATCCTGTTTTATGTATGTGTGAGCCCATGTTTCACCTGGCTGCAAGACACATTTAAAGTTAAATTTAACTTGAACTGGTCATGTGTTTTGTTTGTAAAATCTTAATTTGCAAAGTAACGAGCAGCAATAGCTCTCAAATAAATAAAAAGTACAACATTTGGCTCTGAAATGTAGTGGAGTAGAAGTATTAAGTAAGTTCAAGTGACTCATAACTGTCCTTGAGTAGATGAACTTTTGTGTAGGACTGCACACCTTTGTACTCGAGCAGCTTCTGACTCAGCAGTATAAACGAGGGGAGGAGAGGGAACAATATTATGTCTCATAACACCACGACACATCACACACGCACACTTTCTCTGGACCCGACTGCCAGGGTGTCACTGTAATCAAAAGTGTCTGTTTACCTTTCATTATCGTCAAAGGAGAGATTAAAACAAAGAGATGGGGGAGATGACGTCAGAGCAGATTAGAGTGGATAAACAGTGACGAGAAGAAAACAAGAGGTATATACGAAAAATAAGACATTTCCTTTAATAACAATGTAACATCACGGTTGTATCCTGGTATCATTTTCAATATATTTGACGATGTAGTATAGACTTTTATGTGGACATTGAATTAATTAATTGGCATTTATATACTAATACAACATAAGACTGCATTGTTTTCTACAAAGACATCATAATAGGGCACAAATGGTGTAGCAGCAAAAAAAGAGTGTTTTCTTTATACATAGCTACAGTAGTACAATGTATTGGCAGCGAAGAGATTCATTGCAAGGTATAGCTAAAATGAAGTTACAAATACATCTCTAAAGTATGCACTATGTCATACACAAGGTCAGGTTAGAGATTATAAAATGTTATATAGTTTAGCGAGGGGTCTCTATAGGCTAAGACACTGGAGGCTAGCACAGGGCTACCTTTACAGTACAATGTAGCACAACTGTGCAGATACAAAGCACACTGATGTTTGATACTGACACAGGATCAGGACATTTGAGCAGGATATTAATATGTCCAAGTTGTACATCTTAAAGAGTTGCGACGTTGAAGTGATGGGAGGCAACAACAGATACGAATGCTTTGTGTTTTTTAAGATAATGTTTTGGGGGCATTTTCTTTCTATATTAGCTGAGGGGGGAGAGAGAGGAGACGACATGCAGCAAATGGTCGTGAGTTGGATTCAAACCCGGACTCAGTCTTAGTACATGGGACGCCTGGTCTCCCAATACTATTGCTCTCTGAATGGAATTTGCTGTTGTTGCTTTTATTGTTCAGAATTTGTACTTTGAAATTGGAAAATTTGGTAACAGGAAGTAACAACCGGAGCCCCAGAGATCTCAGCACCACAACTCTTTTAGGTGGAATGTCTTTGATACGTCGTACATGTCTGCATGAGTGGAGCTTTTCAATCTGAGTCCATTTGCTCTTTCAGTTGTTGTTTTTTTCAGTGGACTAATGTAAAGTATGTGCTTTACAATCTGAAACACAAGTGCAATCTGTACTGAGCTTCAGGGACTCTTAGGTTCCCCAAAACATTTGTCCACAAAATGCAACATTATCAAGAAATGAAGGCTAGAAAATTGGAAAAGAATTGAGGGTAGCTGTTTCCCCTGTTTCCAGTCTTTATGCTAAGCTAACTGATTGCTGGCTCCAGCTTCATATTTTACAGACTTGAGTGTGGTATCAATCTTCTTATCTGACTCCAAGCATGAAAGGGAATGAGTATATTTTCTGAAATGCCAAACTTCTCGTTCAAAGCCAAGACATCGACACCAGTGGTTTGAGGCTACAAACGCTTTGGGGGACCGTCTCCTGTTCCACATTATCACACAGTGTCTGGTCTGTACTCAGAGGACCAGTTCAGTTCTCCTCATATGAAAAATGCTTCCCATCTGATTATTAAGACGCACACATAAAACTCCTATAGGTTCCTCTAAACCAGTGACTATCATTACAGATCTGCTGCAGCTCCACATATCTACATTAGACTGTGCTTATTGCTAAGTGTAAATAAAAACATTATTATCTCAAAAGAGGTCTGAAATAACACAAGAGAAAGTAACAACAAGGCTCTAATACTTGGTCATTAATATATTGTGATATAGAGGTAGTGATTGAAGCATTGATTGATAGGAATACTGAACAATGGACTCAAGCGTGGAAAAATAATCTCATCTCAGGAGAGCATAAATACAGAGCTTATCCCAACAGTTCTTTAGCTCAAGGCTGACACACGAATAATTCAGCCTCTGGACTGTTTCAATCAGCAGGATCGTGAAAGTCATGGGTAGAGTACAGACATTAATTATGGAATTTCAAAGCTACTGTTTGTCATGAAGATAAGACGTCACTGGTAAAATGTTCTCAGTAAAATTTAGCACGGGACAAAGGGTCTCAATGAGTGTCAAAAGATGGGTTTAAACTCCATGACCCGTCATAATGGGTCCTCAGAGCTCTGGCCAATCACGCTGACTGACAAGCTGCTGAAGAACCTCGTCCTTTCTGAAACCGCCACAGTCAAAATCAACATTCCCACCCAACGGCCAAGCAGTCATGAACTAACACGGAGTTAAACCGTGAGATTCGGTCAGAATACAAAGAAGTTATGTTCCAAGTGAATAATACTCTTTCCATCCCGGCTCGCACATGCAACAAAAACAGCCATGTTTTCATTCACCGCACTGGGAACGGCTATTTGCTAGGTTTCTATGTGCTGCGGACAACACCGCCCTGCTGATTGTTTGAATTACACATTATAATGTATATAGTCTCCCATTTGTGGCCTGTGTGAGCCGTGTCTGTTTAAATTCAATACATTTGGTTTACATCGGTTTAAATGCTGACTGTATACATAGACGGCCACCCAGCGTGACTCTTTATGCAGACGGATTAAAGATGAACAAACAAAACAAAGACTCACATTCTACAATAGAGCATTTTCAATCAACTTGACAGAATTATAATAAAAAATATAACAGAGGCATATAATACAATATCAAATGAAGACTTTGCAGTAAATTGCAAATACAAACAACTAACATATGTATATTTGCACACTTGGTGTGGCACAAACAAATGCTTATGGCTACCTGCATTCATTTCACATTGCATGTGTGTGTAAATATGAATGTATATGTGTGCCTGCTATAGCACAGAGTGAATGAGGCTGTGTGTGTCTGCATTTGCAGTGTCGTCTGTGTTCCTAGTATTATAAGTGTGAATGTTTGTGTGTGAAGCAGTGGACAGCCGCCAGCCCTCATTATTGTCATTCTCCTCACTGCCTAAAAGAGAGGCAAAGAGAGGCAAAGCGGCTGCTTTCAATCCAGGAGCCGAGGGAAGATGGAGACAAAAGACCCAAATTAAACAAATGCCGGAAAGCGGCTTGGAGAGCCAGCCCGTGGTCATACGCTTTGAATGGAAGAGAACGGCTGCAGGGATATCCCATCTGGGTCTTTCAGTGTTGAGACCACACAGATACTCTCCATCCCAGCATTCAGCTCAACTATAGGTCCACGCACACTGGGGTGCCAGTTCAAATGCATGTCCTATGTCCTTCTGGTATGTCTGAATGTGTTGCTGTCGTTTGTCAAATCCTCAAAACAGAAATTGGCCTTGACTTCACCCTGGAATCCATCTCAATAAAATCACAACTTCCACTGAAGTGTCATTACGTAGGACTCTTGCGTATGACCGATCGACTTCATATCCATTGTTCTTTGTATAATCAGTCAAGTTTCCACTGCTCTCTTGTATCATAAGTTGAGACCTAAAGAACCTCCAAACCACAGCGGATCAGGAGCTCGTGTGATTGTGTCCACCAAGACAGAATTTGTCCGAAATCCATGTCTCTCAAAGTTGCAATTAAGCTGCCTCTTCATCCCTCCACTCATGGGATGTGTTTTGTGACTCTACATGTCTGTACACGCAAGTTCATGTGGACTGACAAAAGCTTTGCCACAGAAGCAGAGGAGGTGGTAAGATGTTTGGCTGCACATGCATACGTAGATCTATATTCAGGTTGTAATGCTGCACTTGTTGCTTAACTAAGAGCGCTGCTACATGTTCTTGTGTGTGCTTCCGCTAATATTTCCTTCAGTCTGAGGTTACTGGATGTCCAAGCGTCTGTATGCTCCATGGCACTGATGCTGAGAGTGGGCGATGAATCAACAAGGGTTGGGTGGAAAGAAGGAGGTGAAAAGAAAGTGAGTAGACACATCAAGTCCTCATGGCATCACACCTGGAACAGTAAACATTAAAGAGAAGAAGGTTTCAGATTAAATCTTTTTTTGACAGGTTCAGGGCTGATTCACACATGTATGGTGGATTCTTCAAATGTGCACAATGCGAGTCTGGTGATAAAGTGAGCATATACATCTGCTTTTTTTTTTGTTTGATGTCCAAAACGGCATTTATTTTATTAATCAAATATACTCACTTTGTGGGCATTCAGACAGTGGAATCAGCACCAACACTACAACTAATAGTTAACCCAATCTACAACTTGAGTTACAGCCACTCCCAACAAAACTTTCTCACTGCCTCAAAAGCTCAAGCATCTCATCAGCTGTCAAACATTCATGATCTGTATAGGAAATGGATTGTGGGTTGGTTATAGCTGAAGAGCAACAGGAGGATACCCTGAATCGGGAACACACAGCTTCAATTTGGACCGCCTGATGCAGCTGAAGGTGCTTTATTGATTGCATTATTCTAAATTACTCACTTTTTGGAGCTCTATTTTGCACACAGTATATCTCTGTCTGTGTATTGTTGTATTTCAGCTACATATTGTTCAAAAACAGTTCAACAGAATAATTTTTTTTAAAAGTTCAGACATATTTTTTTTGTTTTGGTTGCGTGTGAACTGACCTACAGCGGCGAGGGTTGAGCGTACGGTCTTTCTGGCTGCAGCTCTCAGCTCTGATGGTGCAGCGGCACTGGCAAGACGTCGCATCCAGTGCCCACTTCCTCCCTCTGCAGGGACGGCAACGAGGCCTCAGAGATGGCGACGGAGAGGGAGAGAGGCCGGTGGGCGGATGTGACGGAGGAGGAGGTGACGTAGAAGGTGACGTAGAAGGGGGTGGAAGAGTTGGGGGAGCATGGGTCCTGGATGGAAGGAAGAGGGGTGTAGGAACAGTGTGGTTAGCCGCTGAATTTATTCCTACATTGACTAACAAGAGTCTACATCAACGCAAGTGGCTCTGTGAGTCTGTACTTTGCACAACAAAAGGTCAAGGGATCGTCAAGTCTGAGGGCTTCATCCTGAGGGGACAATGAATGTCTGACCACCTCATCACAATCCATGCAATAGCTGGTGGACCGACACATCGACACACCGACGGACCGACAGCCACGCTCCAGGATCATTACGGGGTCTAAAAGATTTTGCTATTTTGCCATTGATCCCACACCACGGCTAAAAAAGGAATGCACGGCTTGTTTAAACATGCAGTGCTAGACCGAAACAAACCAACACAATGCAGTGTGTGTGGGAGATGTGTGACTAATGCGGGATACTGTTTCCTTTGCTGCCGACAAACTTTCTGCTCTTTCTGTCGCTCTGTGCTTCTGGTCGTTACCATGGCAACAGTGACATAGCTGCCGACGAGGCTTTCAGTTTCTCCTCCAGACGCTCTGTACTTTCTCCGAGTCTGAGAAAGTTGCCTGCATCAGTTGGTCCATTAACTGGAGCTGGTTCTTCCCGGGAGGCCGGCGGCTTTAATGAAGTTACTTAATGAGGCAGAGAGGGGCAATCTTTGTCCAGAACTCCGATGACCACGCCTGCCGCTGGCATGGAAAGAGGAGTTGGTATTTGGGAGCAAATTACACATATTTCACCCCTGCCAGAGTCTGAATAAAGCCTGTTCTGAGTGATGGATGGGTGCTGAGGGACATTACACCCAAACCGAGTCACCTCTGGCCCCCCGGAGGCCGGAAATGACTGACAGCAAAGTGAAGAGGAAGCAGATGGAAAACAAGAGCTAACTCTTTCATCCTTCACCGCTCAGGACTGAATCATGGGAATCAGAAACAGAAGCAGACACTCGTAGCTCAAACTCACCTGTTCCTCATAGATTACAGTGTAAAAGGTTACTTTTAAAATGTTTTTATTGAGCTTGAATGATTCAAACTGACCTTCTTAACAGCCTGTGTTGTGAATTCTATAATATGTAATATAACTGATCACAGCAACGAATAGTTGCTAGATACTGTTATTATAAAGCTTATAGTGAGTCCCAGGGCTGCGGGCTGAGTGTGTGTGTGTGTGTGTGTGTGTGTGTGTGTGTGAGAGTGTGTGTGTGTGTGTGTGTGTGTGAGAGTGTGTGTGTGTGTGTGCATGAGGGAGACCTTGACTGCTGTGGCTGTAAAACAAATTGTCCTTCAGTAATGATGTCGACCACATAACCTAGTTTCTGTCAAATATTCACACTGAAGTTGATGGTATCTGGAAAATACTAACAGAAGTAAGAAGAACAACTTAAGGCTTGTAACTGAGACTGAAAAAATATATATTAATAAATGTGTGTAGTGAATATTCAACATACGCAGCTCTGATGGCTCCACTTGTCTTCTGTCTGGACTTTCCTCTCTCCTTTTCCTTGTCTGTTCTTGTTGGCTTCAGATAGGGCCTGGGAGTATCAGACAAACAACATGTCTCACACATTAAGGGGTCAGGAGTTATATTTTTGACACCTGTTCGAATCAAGAAATTGAATTAGTAGGAAATAAAAATAAAATCAGTGAATATATTGAATGTATCATTAGATGAAGCCAATGTGTTGCATGTCCGAGTTGAATATTTGCAAAGGTTTGTATTTATTTACTTATTCTCTGATCAGATAGTTTCTGACTTATAACTTTTTTGTCTGTATTCTCTTCAGAAAAGTTCAGATTTCAACATTTGGGAAGTTTGTATTCTTTTGTCTGACAATAAAAGGGTTTTGTAGAAAAACATGTTAATATTTCTCAAAGGAAGGGATCAAAAGACGGTTTTATTTTAGTGTTGGTACCAAAAGTCATGTTTCGTATCTACTGTTAGTTATCGAAGAAATGTCAAACAACACCCAGTCCCCATATATTTCATCTCCAAATGTTGTTTTCACAAAGAGCACAGCCTTTAAGGAATGATCTAACCCAAACATATAGGCCTTCAAAAAACATGATAAATCTCCTTTTCAAAACAGGAAGCTCCCAGTGGAGATGTTCAAGTAAACTCCACATATTTATACGTATATTCTATGATGTATAAGTTCAGACATTCATGCAATATTTCTTTTAATACTCCTAAAGTATTTAATTTTGCAACTTTATCCAACTTTGCATTACTTTTACAAGGTTCTGTTGTAAGTACTCAACAGTGAGTTTTTAATATTTTTCTCATATATACCTATTATTTGCAATCATTTAAAGTAATTTCAAGTATCAGAGACAGAAGTCGAAAAGAAAAATCACTCATTAAGCATAATTGAATGCTTTTGATGAATGCTCTTGATTGTAGGACGAGTGGTGGAAAGTACATTTACTCGACTAGTGTTGTACCTCTATACACTTCTGGTGTACTTAAATTTATAGTATTTTAGTTTCATTATACTTCACTTCTACTCCACTACACTTCAGAGGGAAATATTGCACTTTTCACCAAAAATACATTTATTCAGCCGCTTGAGTTAGAAGTCATTTTGCAGAAAAGGATTTTCAAAACCTGTGATTGATTGATATTATTTGTACTTTTACTTTTGTACAATTCTGAAAGAAGGAATTTTACTTGTAATGGAGTATTTTCACAGACTGGTATTGCTATTTTTACTCAAGTAAAAGATCTGAATACTGAATACAGGTCACTGACAAGGAAGCTCCAATAATGGCTGATTACTATCTTTTCACATGACATTAACAAATATCTATCAAAACAATGACGTCAGCGTGGGCTACCAGCAGAAGAGAGAGACGCTCCCCAAAACGTGGAGACAATGTTCAGGAAACATTACACTTATTACTGCAGCTTTGCATTTTGGAGTCATGTCCACATTGCCTGATGTTTACCAAACTCTGTCCATTTCCCTGTCTTCCTTATCATTTTAAGTGCCTCGTCCTTATAGAGCACAATCTGATTTACTTTAATGTATGCGAGTGCCCTCAACAACAAAGTGCATCTGCTCACTGCTTTGGTTTTTGGCTTTCCTGATTTAACTTCCTCTAATCTCATCTGCTATAAACTATGTTAAACTTTTATCAAATTACGAGGACAGTGTTCAGAGGCTGAGCTCTGACGATATTAACTGAGTGTGCTGCTGCTGCTGTTGTTGTCTTTGGAGCTCTAATTTACTATCATGGATGCGTGACTCTGCTCCGTCAGTCTGTGAGAGAGCACATGGCAGGGGAGATAAAATCATTGCTACGGTGACAACAGGATGCGGGCCGTCCCAGGGGATGCAGGGAGAGTCACACAGATGCTAACTCACTGATGGGCACACACACACACACACACACACACACACACAGGCATAAACACACAGAAACAAATATTCTCACACACACATGTATACTAACACATAGAGAATGTACACGTGTGCAAATACATGCAGAGATTTAACAAGCGCAGTCACACAGACACATGAACGGGGGGGAAATAAAATTATATACACACACACATACATTGGAATCCTTTATTTATGTCCACATCCTAACAGGAAGTAGGAGGACGTAAACATTAAAGATGCAATCATATGATTGTGTGGTTGGACCTGCCAGTACGAGGTAGTACACAAACAAACAAACATCAGGGATCCAACTGAAATGTTCCTTTCACAGTGTACAGCTGTCAGTCCCGGCTGAACCTCAACATGGATAACTTCCCCAAATGCAATTTGTCATCAAGATTCAAGGTGACTATGGCGTTGTTTGTTGTGTTTTTGAAACTTGCTGTATTTAAGGTACTTTTCAGTCCACTGTATCAACAGCATGAATTGTATTGTGTCCTATTTGATTCTTCACCATGTTTATTCATAGTTAAACCTGGAAAGCGAACATTGACATGTTTCATCTATTAAAGTAAAATTGAAAATTTAAATTTGTTTATTTCTTGCATTCAAGAGGTGAGATGTTGGCCGGAGGTGTTGCACTTTTCCAGCAAATAATGAGAAAATGTTTGAAACTGCTTCAAGCCTTCTGTCCTCGGATAATGAATATGAGAACAAGTAACCTTTTTCAACACTATTATGCCACTTATGGCTACTTGGGTTTCATCCTATGAATACCTCCTCTTCATCAATAACATCATCAGCAGAATTATAAGAGCATCATTAGTGCTTATTATTAACATGGCTTCACATTAGGGATGAAGGAACATGACCTTTCACAACAACAGCTCACTCACACACAGTTTAACAGGAACAGACATGGAGAGATTAAAATGCAAAGAAGGGAAATAATAACAATACTAATAATACATTGTGTTCATTAAAAGTGCTTTTCATGAAGACACTTTAAGTGAAAAGGATTTAAAAAAACAAAACAATATATAATACACAACATGAATCACTCATTGAAAGCAGTTCACTGAACTGAAAAACATAAAAAAACATAATGCGTTACCTTGTTGTAGGTGTTGGCTGGATTTGTTCTTTTAATCTGCTCACAGATAAAACAGACGTGTCAGCATAAAGGTGCAGTGAGATCAGTCAACGACAGGTATACCATGAAGACAGACTGTGTGTTTTATTACCTGCACTCACACTGACTGTGCTCCACGAACAGCAGCTCAATGAGCTCATGCTTCATGAAGGAGGTTCTCATCAGCTGCACAGAGATCAGAAAAATATTCAGACATTATCTCGCTGTTTCCAACATTAATCATCTACATTGAAGCGGGTAGGGATTTGGTGTGTGTGTGTATCTGTGTGTTTACCTCCATGGTGACTGTATGTGTGAGCGAAGGAACACACTCCAGGGCCTCATCAGCACAGCAGCCACCACATCGCCTCACCGACACACAGGATGGGACGAAGAGATGGTGCGTCTCCCCCGGTAACTCCCGCCAAACCTCCACCAGAGTGTCCCGAGGCTCACAGCCGCTGCGCGAATAAACCTCCAACCACCGCCGCACTGGTGGAGATAAATCAAACACAGTCATGATTTCATTTTTTCACTATCAGCTCCATAAAGTGGTGCAGGGGTCTTTGTAGAAACAGGGACAGCCTACCTTCTCGACCCTCCCTGGATTTTGGGGAGTCTGCCGGCCGCCAGTGAGCAAGCTGGAGGGGGAAAATAAAAGTGATGAGCACATGTGAAAAGCACGTGTTAATAAATTTAGGGTTTCTTGGTCAAGTTGACCTGTTAGATAGCGTTCAGCTTTGCACTTTGGAGTCATGACAAGTGGTTGAATTTCAGTCCAGCAAAAACGTAGATGTAATAGTAGTCAGTGAAAAGGTGGGTCAATTAGGACTTTTCTATAAAGACTATATTTAAAATACATGTAATACATATAACAACATGAATTTATTAATATATAACAGTAATCTAACTGTTGAGCTATTGCCTGCAACGTCCTGTTTGACATTGTTGTAAAAAGGCTGCTGGTGCATAACAGATCAAAGTATTTCAGGTTAATGACCACCACAATATTTCACACCTGGCACCTGAATATGACACGCTCCATAATGCATGGTGGTAAATGGAAAGGAAGAACTTGATTATTGAACTTTTATACACGTCAGAGCCGCCCTGCAGTAGTATGAAGGCTCAATAAAACATGCCTCATTTTGGGCTCTATTTTCAAATATTTCCCGCAGGCATTGGGTCCATTGGGTCCATTTAAGTATGTAACTGAACATGTCGACGTTCCCGACCAAAAATCAACCATATTTTCAACAACATGACTGTACTGACTGAACAAAGTGAGGGAGGGTGCTGCTGGATTTTTGAACGAGTTGTACCTGCTACCTTTGCCCTCAAGCCTATCACCTGACTAGCGTTTAAAACACCTTCAGTAGCCACGCAGCAGTAGATAGTGAGCGTATCTCATACTTCTCAACAATAAACTGTTACAATCTGTGTAGCTCTGCGTTGACAAGCAAGACCGCCGAATACTATTTCATAAGATGAGCTGAAGGGAGTATCGGTGATTTGATCACACAGATTGTAACCCAATATATTATACTATTTACTGCTATTATTCTTGCCCACATGCAATTTATTCTCACATATAGTTTCTGTCCAAAGTCAACTCTGGGTGGGAAAATAACCAAGTACAATTTTGAGGTACTTATATGAGCAATTTAATTTTCTTACTTATACTTCAACTCCACTACATTTCAGTGGCAAAGTGTACTTTTACTCCACTCCATTTATTTTACAGCTAAAGTTACTCATTCATTTGCAGATTAAACAGATTAAACCAGTGGTTCCCAACTTGTTCGACGTGTAAGCATTTACAAAAAGTGTAAAATGTGGGGTTGGGGCCTCTTTGTTGTGTTTCCAATGTCAATGAGTTGTTAGCAGTTCCAGTAAAGATAAGATTTACCCTAAAAACTTCTGATTGAAGAACAGTTTGAGGCCCAAATTTCACATATAACAGCAAAGATTAGTGACAACAGATTTGTATTGCAGAACATAGTATTTTCTTCGTTTTGTCCTCTCCCATTGATCATCTCCTGACCCCTCAGATTTATCTTGTGACCCTTTGGAGGCGCCCGAAAAATGCTGTTCACACATTGTCAACAACTTAATAATGTCATATATAATTTTATATCAGTACTGCGGCACAAGTACTTTCACTTTCAAGACCGTAGCGTACATTTAGCTGATGATACTTACTTTCGTACTTCTACTTAAGTAGGAAAGAGACACTGGATTTCATAGCGCTCTAAAACACACACACTGGCGTTATTGGACCTATGTGTGTGTGAAGACCAAGGCCACTTGTAGGGGAATGTAGACTTTGTCCAGTTGCCCCCTTTAACTGCTCCACCCCCTTGTACCCACCCACCCACACACCCACGCACACACACACACACACACACACGCACACGCATATACACACACACACACACACACACACACAGGTTTGGCCCACATTGATTCCGAGTTAAGCTGGGACTGAGGCCATTTTGTGACTGGTAGGATGTGAGCTTAAGTAAGTGTGTCTTTTCTGAATCAGTCTTTAAGATGGGGATACGATTACCTCTTGTTGGCAGCCACACATTCACATTCACACATTCACACACACGCACACACGCACACGCGCACACGCAACCACCACACAGCACACTGTACATATGGGCCAAGAGTGTGTGTGTGTGTCCTACAGCTATACACCACCTCCTCCACACTCAGAGTCTCATCTCTACAGGAGAAATACGGATGACCTCTTTTCCCCTAATAATCTGTCAGTAAAGCAGACAACATGAAAGCAGAGAGCCTCGGGTGAGAGACAGCGGCTGTGAGCAGGTGAAGAGTCACACTGCTGTGTGTCATAGCGTAGGATGATGCATTGCTAATACATAGGTTACAGCAGCACAAAGTCAGGGCTGGGTCTCACACTGCTGCAGAGCACTGCCTGTTCCTGATACAAGCCTCCAGACATAAATAAAGAATCAGCAGGTCTCTCCATGTCTGTGGGCCTGCTGCTGTTTGGAAAATGTCAGTATGAACATTTCTTATCAGTGATAACTAAAAATAATAATATCCAACCTCTTTTTGAATGACACAAAGCAAAACTTACAGTCCATATAGGATTATTGGTACCACTGTTTAATGAGACGCCCTAACCTGAAATAATTGGTCCTTTAATCAATCAGTCAACTGCCACAAATAATTTATAAGGAAAATAATGGTTGGTGGCAGCCCAAAATGGTTCTATTAATGTTTAAAAACTAATTTACTAATGCTCTAGATCAGTTATAAACCATTAAGAATGACGTTTGGGTTGCCAAGATGACATTTGCTTTGTCTCTTTTAGCTAACGTTAGCTCTTAAGATCATCAGGAAGACAGTTTGGGAAGTACACGAAGTACACCTTTGCGCATTCTGACCCAGAGTAAGATGAGAAGATTGGTATCATAGATATGATCAGCACCACTCTCATGCCTGGTCAATATGAAGACACACCTAGCAGCCAGTTAGCTTAGCTCAAAGACTGGAAACATCTAGCCTGTCCAACTGTTAAAATAACCTACGAGCACTTCTAAAGCTCACCAATTAACATATTATATGTTGTTTTTTTATTAGTACGAAAAACTAAGTGTAAAACGACTATTTGCTGTTTGGGCCTTAGGTGTGGCACTTAATGTTAATGTGCCCGGCTATTTCTTGGGCCCAACTAGTTGCTAGGCAACCAGAGGAGACTCTAGGAAGTTACTGCCCCAAATAATGTCTTTATAAAAGATGTTGTTATGTTCGGACAGAGCAGGCTATGTTATCCTGTTTTAAGTCTTTATTCTAAACCCGGCAAGAACGGCACCAATAAGAACATTTCCCTAAATGTCAAAGTATTCCTGTCATATATATAGCCTACTAAATAATCCATTCATTAACAACATTGTGAATGAATCAATTACTGTGTTGATGCCCCGCCTTTCTGATGAATTAAGCTATAGCTAAAAAAGACAAGGTAAATGCCATGCTGGAGGAGGATTTTCCACAACCTGGCAACCTACAAGTTGTTCTTTTGAATGGCTTTTACTGATCTACAAAGCGTTGGTAAATTATTTATTACAGCATATAAACTCTATGTATGGGGTGACTAACTGGAAAAATGTCTGGCACTGAATTGTGATGTAGAGGAGACAATAAATACCACAATGTCGCTATAAAGTCAATAAATCATTCACTAGACCGGAGGTGACAGATGTCATTGACCTAGAGGGGATAACTTCCACACAGCTAAAAGTCCCACATGTTCCCACTTAACTAAATGCATTCAGAAGGATGTTAGATTATCTCCATCAAGTGACCGTTAATATGAGCTGGAAATGAACCTGATGGCGGACCACCACACACATACAGTCTTTAGGGTCAAATGCCGATACATACCTTGGCGTGGGACGTGGGTATTCTGGTTAGCAGCAGGAATTGAAACATTCCTAGAATAACTTGAAGCATAATCCCCATTGTGCAGGACTCGAAGGGGACCGCAAAAAAAATGTTTTGGACCAATCCAAAAAAAGAAAAAAGAAGGTGGCTTGCCGGCCGTCTCCTTCCTTTTGCTTCTGTGTCCGATTAAAGGCGCAGAAATCCCGCATTCATTTCATTCTCCAGGCTCCCTTCCTTGAAAGGACGCCCAGGGTGGCATCCTCAGTGTTGGATAATAACTTTATCTTGTTCATTTGAGACTAGATGATCGTCTAAACTAGCAGGAGTCTGTTCCCAACCTAAACTAGGATAATAGTTTGTATTTTAATTAGTCAGACACTGGAGTAGGCTGTTGTGTAGAATAACCCTCCTTCCACTAATTACAGGCATACAATTCTGCCACTCTCAAGTAATAATTAAATTCTCCATCTAATGGTGGCACCATAACCTTAAAAATGCTGATTTTCTAATCAGACTTGGTTAAACTTTGAATGCCTTCCTGTATTTATTCTATTAGTCTATTGTTCCTGATCCCATTGAACCAGTGTGGGTGTCCGGGGTGTCGTGACATTAGGAGCATCCAGCATCCAGATTCCCGCTGAAACGTGGTGCGATCATAAAATCATCTGTGTGGCTGAAAGAAATCACATCAGTCAGCTCGGAGGACATTTATCCGGTAGAGACCCGACGCTTTAGCCCGACGTGCAGAGCTGGACAGTGGCGCATATTCCGCTCCCCGGCTCGATCAGTCTCTCCACGTTGTCGCTCCCACGGAAAATATGATCTCCCCGTTTTTTTTGTTGTTTTTTTTTATCCTCTTATGAATATAAATATGACTGGAATAACATCCTCCACTGGCATGGCAGCACAGCTACAACAGAGCCGGAGCAGCAGGGTAGTCCGCAGACAGAGAGAGGTCTGGTGTGTCTCTTCATTAGTTGTTGTGATCGGTTTCCTCATTTCCTCTGCCCTTGAGACGCACGCAGCGTAACCATTGCACTGCCAACTTTTTCCTAACGGGACAGGCAGACTGAATACAGGTGCAGCGTCTCTACTGGACCCAAAGTAGGGGTGGGTGTGTGTGTGTGTGTGTGTGTGTGTGTGTGTGTGTGGCGGTGTGT